CTCATTTTGATTATTTTTGTGTATGTCTGAATCTAGAAACCACTGGAGCCAATAGTGTGGCATTTTCTTCCTCAAGTAATGTTGATCAATGTATTTATTAGTTGGCCTTATTGAATTAAAAGTATATTTCTAGTTTCACCAAATAAAACATTCTGACATTCTGACCTAGTAGCTTTTTATGTTTTGTTTAGTGTGTATAGTCAATAACCTATTAGCAGGTTGCATTCCTTCTGACGGTTTTTTGTCGGTGGTTTGGAACTTACACTGTACATTACCTCAAAACGCAGTGTTTAAACAGAGATTTGGTTCCAGGCCAGGACGGTAATATTAAAGTGGCAGGAATAGCACTGGTAATACAGGCCTGAGCTCAGGATCCTGAGGAAAAGAGACCACAAAGACAGAGGAAAATGTTTCAGTTTTTATTCTCAAATAGGGCTGAACTTGAAATAGTTGAAATAAGTGTTTGTCAACTATTTCAATTAAAAACTAGTTAACTAATTACATTTAAACCATTCATTTAAATAAAACTAGAGTAATTTTGATGTCTTTTAAGCTAAATGTATGTTGGTTGAATTAGATATAATTAGGCTTTCAAACCAATTAACTGATAATGGAAATGAATAGAAACTAAACCGTAGTCAACATGACTTAACTTTGAGTCACTCTTCACAGGCATCAGATTACATATAAAAAGCTTGACTGCTAAACTACCAATAAACTGAGCCAGATTTTTTGGTATTTAAAATCAGAGCAATGACTGCTTTGCTATTTGTGTTTCTTTCAGTAGGTGGCAACATAACTAAACTAGTTGTCTTGTGTATGGTTGTTTGACATCTTATATTTTTAAAGGCGTTAGTTAATTTCTATATTTATTGAACTACACAGTGTGTTTTTTAAAAAAATTCCTCCCCACAGATATGCTGTTTACTCCTTGCTTGAATGAGGAAGACTTACGATAAGAAAACTGCCCATTACCCATTCTTTATAGGTTTCAGGTGTAATAAATATCATTGCCAACTGGTAAACAGTTCTTTGCACATGTGTTTTCTTGAAAGTTATTCTGAATAAGTTATTTGGAGATCTATGTTTTGTAATTCAAACTAGAATTTAAAGCAGTTGTTAGAGCAAAGTTAAGGAGTCTTGGTGGTGCAATGATTAAGTGCTCAGCTGCTAACTGAAAGGTCAGCGATTTGAACCAATCTGCTGCTCTGTAGAAGAAAAGACCTGGTGATCTACTCCCATAAAGATTACAGCCAAGAAACCCTATGGAGCAGTTCTGTGAGTTGGAATCGACTAGGCAGGACACAACAACAACATAGCAAAGTTGTTCTTGTCTCGGAGAATATGCCACAGATTTGCCCAATGCAATACATTGTTCGATTTCTGTTCCCATGGGCATTGATTGTGGATCCGAGTAAAATGAAATCCTTGACAGCTTCAGTATTTTAGTATTTTCTTTGTTTATCATGATATGGCCTATTGGTCCAGTTGCGAGGATTTTTTGTATTCTTTACGTTGAGGTGTAATCCATGTTAAAGGCTGTAGTCTTTTTTTTTTAAATAACATTTTGGTATATTTACTTCATATATATATATATACACACACACATATATGGAGCCTTGGTGGCAAAGTGGTTAAGAGCTTGGCTGTTAACCGAAGGCCTTAGCATAAATCTTCACTTCCACACACAGTAAAAAACAAAAACAAGCCAGTTCCCCTTAAGAATGTCCTAAATGAAGTGAAAATTAATTTTATCAAATTGTGTAATTCTAAAATTCTGTGTAAAGAAATTAGGAAGCTGCATGCCAAAGTGCAGTGGTTGTTTCAAGAAAAAGTGCTGTGTGATTGCAGGAGATTTCAGCTAAACTGCATGTCCACCACCCCACGCCCCGAGCACTATTTTTACTTGAAAGAACAACTGACAGCCTATGGTTATTTAGACTTTGGTTTATTTGACAGATATTTTCTCAAAGGTGAATAAAGTAAATCTGTCGCTTCAAGGAAAATAACTGATAGTATTGACAATGATAAAATTCAAGCTTTGAAATGGAAATTAGAATTTTGGCAAACTTGCATCTACCACTGTGACTTTGACAGTTTTCCAATACTTAAAGAAACCTTTTCTGTTGAGATAGGTGGTAATAGTCACATTTTTTTAAAAAAAATTGTATAATGAACAGTGTCAACATTTTGAAGATCTGTGTGACTTAGTGAGTGAATATTTTCCAGATGACCAGTGTATGATGTTATAAAATGTGTGTGTTAAAAGATCCATTCAGAGTAAAAGACAAAGCTCATTGATACAGTTTCAGATTTCATATTGGAACTAACATTTAAGAAACTACCACTAGTCAAGTTTTGGTGTAGTATCAAAGAAGAATATCTACAATTCTTTCTGTTAAAATATTCCTTCCTTTTCTGTCTACATATCTGTGTGAGGCTAGATTTTCTTTATTTACTTCAGCCAAAACAGTGTATCACAACAGACTCAATATAGAAAGAGACATAAGAATCTACCTGTCTTCTGTTAAACCAGAAGTGTGAGAATGTGGATCTGATATTGAAAACAGAGGGAATAAATGACCAACCATATGTACAATGATTGTTGAGAACAGTCTTCTTGCAGGAATGTAAAAACAATACCATTCTTCTCACTACATTTTTTAAAAATAGTTACTTTTCATAAAAATGCTATGTTAATATGCAATAGGTTTATTATCAGTTTAGTGTGAATTAATAAGTACCTTTAAAATTTTAATTAGTTTTAATTTCTAACATGGTAAATATTGGTAGATCTAACCCACCTATAAACAAAAGCGTTTTGGAATCATCAGTTATTTTTAAGGATATAAAGGGTCCTTGAAGGAGCCCTGGTGGTGCAGTGGTTAAGCACTCATCTGCTAAGTGAAAGGTTGGCGGTTTGAACCCCGCAGCCACTCCGTGGGAGAAAGATGTGGCAGTCTGCTTCCGTAAAGATTGCAGCCTTAGAAACCCTATGGGGCAGTTCTACTCTGCCCTACAGGATCCCTGTAAGTTGGAATCGACTCCACGCAACAGGTTTTTGTTTTTTTTTTTAAAGGGTCCTTGAGACCAAAATGTTTGAGAACTGCTGGAATAGAACAGTCCCCATATACATTGTTAAGGAAAGTGTAGACCCGTAGGATTGTACTCTAGCATTTGTGTGAAAAGGGTTGTGAATGGGATATTTATTTTTTTGTATATACATAAAATTCTTCTGGAAGGATATAAAAGAACTTTAAGTTTTGTTTGTTTCGGGAAGGGGACTAGGGTGGCTAGGGAGAAGGAATGAAAGGTGAACTCTGTTGAACTCTTCTGAATTTTAAACCAGATGAATGCATTACCCATCTTAAAAAAAAAAAAGAGAAAGAGAGAGAAATGTGAACAGTCCTGCACAGCTGTGTGACCAATTTCAGGAAATCTAGGTCTGTTATGAAAAAGTTGGAATAATAGTTTTTCCTTGTCTGGTAGCTTGTTTTTTCTTGTTTTATTTGAGAAGAAAGTGAAGCTTGTTTATTTTAGGTGTAGAAAAGCTTGTATAATGTCCAAGACAAATACGTTTATGTTGAAATAATGTAAATCAGATAGGTAGCAATTTCCCCAGTGGGGCCAAAAGTATATTGAACTTAAGTTTTAAAGAGGAACAATTTGATTTTTTTTTTTTTTTAAATGGCAGTTTATTACTAGGTTCCTAGGAAAGAGATTGGGTTTATTTTAGAAGACTGTTACAATTTACAGTCCTGTCACTTAAAAGGTTTGGAATATGTGCTGCATGAAATGTGGAAGTAAAAAAGCGAAGTAAGTGTTCTGATGTTTGGTTTAGTACAGAAAGTATTTTTTAATGCTCATAACTTTGAGGCTTTAGGAATTTTTGAATAATGAAGGAATTCAATTTTATTTATTCTGTCTGTGATTAAATGTGTCTTTTGATCAGTGTTCATACTTTTAACTTTCAGGTAGATAAAGTATCTTTTTATGAAAAGGGAAAATTATTTTAATACATCAGCTCTTCAGATTTTCTTTTTTCATATAATACTGCTAAAATTTATTTCTTTGAATACTGAAATATCTCTTCCAGAGCTCTTTGAAGCAGTTTAGAGGAAGATATTACCTGTAATTCTGCTCATTAGTTACAGTTGAAAGTTTGCCCGTAATGTGGAGCCATTTTCCCTCAAGTTCTTTAGTTAACAAAGAATGCTATTAATAGTGTTAATGGGTTTTTCTGAAATATTAGACAAATGGACAGTTAATTTAGAAAGGAGTTTTACTTATTTTTATTAGTTGCATTTGTGTGTGTAATATTTGACATTTTTCAAAGCACGTACACATTATTCTTTTGATTCTCAACACGTCTTGGAAATAACACAGTGTTTTTCCTATTTTATATCTGTGGAAATTGAAATTGAGAGGGCTAAATGAATTGCCTAATGTCATGTAGCCTTGTTAAATAGTAAAATAGTTTTTAAATAAAACTTCAGACTCTATTCTTGTAATAAATATACTTAATCTTGACCTACTGTGTAAGACTCAGATCTTGCCCTCCAGGGGCCTGGAGTTGAGTGGCAGGACATCCCCCCCCACCAAAGTGGGAGAAGTGTGTAAGTGTGGTGGTGTCCCATTGAAGGGCCATCTAGCTCAGATTTGGTTTCTATAGGAAATGCCTATATAATTCACTGATAATTTTATTATATCTTTTGTCTTAATTTTGAATGCACCCTTTTACACATTAAGAGAACAAGCCTTTTAACATATTAAGGTTGCACAGTTTTAAAGATGGCTAAACCAAATCTCAGTTTGCGTCGCAGATTTTGGAACAAAGATGGAGAGGTCTTAGAAACTTCAGGGTGTAAGCCGCCTCCTTTTTTTGGTGAATTTCATTATTCATTTTGAATTCCTTCTAAGCGTATCTGCATTTTAGATTGTGGTGGATGGGCTTTATACCTGGTTTCTCAGAGTGATCACATTTATGTTCTTCCACACAGGCCAGCCCTCCTGATCTCTATATTGAAAGATTTAATATAGCTCTTGGACAGTATATGGGAGCATTGCAGAGCATTGTGCCTCTTTTCATATATATGGTAAGTTAGAGCTGTTGCTTCCTTTCCAAATAAGACCATAGGTCTGTTGGTCTAAACAGACAGATGCAGATATGTAAGCATGTTCTGTTTTTCTTTTCCTATTATGTTAGAAATGGAAATTAAACTAGTTCAATAACGTTCAATTGTTGTTGAAATAGAAGAATTATGTTAGTTACTTTTCCTTTTTGTTATTAAGTTCCATAAGTAACAACTGCTAAATAGACAGTTAGGCACTGAGAATCAGCAATCACCCTATGCACATTTATTTTATTTCTGCCATGTGGAAGGCATTGTGCTTGGTCCTGGGAAGATAAAGATGTATAAGAATGATTTCTTGTCCTCAGAAAGCAGAGAGCTTAAAACATCTATCTAAAAATATGATGCATGATAAATGCCAAGTAAGTAGTTCCTTAAAAAGTAGTGCAGTAAAACATTTACTTCCATTCTGATGATCTTTTTCATTTGGAGAGTTGTGCCATGAGTATAATTGATACACTGTTGACTTTGTTGATTAACCTCCTACACTTTTAAATCTGTAAAATCATAGAGCCCTATAATGTTAGTGTTTCCATTGAGTGGAGGGGCTCTTAGAAACCATCTATTTTAACTCCTCTTTGTTTAATAGATTAGGGAATAGGATATTTTGGTTGATCCTACAGTCTGTAGCATATAGATTGTCATATGTGGAATACCAATCTTAAAAATGATTTATTTAAAATAAAACATACAGGTATGCGTTGCTTAACGTCCATGATTCGTTATGTGATTTAGACGTTATGCGAAAACCATATTATATACAGGAGAGAGGCACTCAGGATGGTCACTGGTTGGGCCTGGGACTCACGCCGCTGCCGCACTGATGGACTGTGTGAAAACTTGAGTTCTACCGCTGCTGGTCCTGTGGTCCTGCATGGTCACTGCCCTGGTCTCCAAGAGTGCGGCACACACTTGCTGTCCAGTCAACCACCGGCTCGCTTCCTGTCCGTCCTCTCTGCTTGCCTTCCCAGTCTGCTAGACCATTAGGCACCACGGGAGGAGCTGCAGCCTCAGGCCTGGGGGTTACATGCAGGGTACCCTGGCCGAGTTGGGCAGCAGCCTCTGGAGAAGCATCCCTTCAGCAGCTCCAGCAGAGTCTGTGCAGTCCCTGCCTGAGGCGAGCACAGTGGTACAGGAAGCCATGAATGGGCCCCTGGATGCCTTCCTCCTGCTGTGCGAGGGCCAGGATGAACGCACAGCCCAGAGAACTAGAGAGAGACAGATCGGATCTCTAGCAAAGTACGTCGCTGTGTCCCGTTCTCTGATTGGAATTTCTGAACTCTAGTATAACCTTATGGGACCATGGACGTATATGCAACACATGCGTGTACTTTGAAAAAGCTATCTTTAATTTAGAAGATTCTTTACAAAAGATCATGTTGTATATGATTTTCATTTATATTTCTTAATTCCGTAGGTACTGTTACGGATTGAATTGTGTCCCCCCAAAATATGTGTTTTAAATCCTAGCCTCTGTGCCTAAAGTTATAATCCCATTTGGGAATGGATTGTCTTTGTTATGTTAATGACATAGGATCACTGTAGGGTGTATCTTGAGTCATTCTCAAGCAAATCATTAAGCAAGCAAGCAAGCAGAGGAGATGGAGAAAGACACATGCCAAGCCACATGAAGATAGTCTAGGAGCAGAAGCTCAGAAAAGACAAGGACCTTCCTCCAGAGCCAATAGAGAGAGAAAGCCTTTCTTTAGAGCTGGCACCCTGAATTTAGACTTCTAGTCTCCTAAACTGTGAGAAAATAAATTTCTGTTTGTTAAAGCCACCCGCTTGTGGTATTTCTGTTACAGTAGCACTAGGTAACTAAGACAGAATTTGATATCAGAAGAGTGGGGTGGTGCTCAAACAGATACCTAAAATGTGGAAACAGTTTTGAATTTGGGCAACAGGTAGAGGCTGGAAGAGTTTTAAGGTGCCTAATAGTAAAAGCCTAGATTGCCTTAAAGAGACTATTGATAGAATTACGGACATCAAAGACGATTCTGATGAGGGCTCAGAAGGAAATGAGGAGAGCCATAGAGAAAGTCTCTGTCATCTTAGAGAATACATGTGGTGCCAGCAACAGAATGTTGCTAGAAGTGTGGATGTTAAATGTGCTTCTGGTGAGGCTTTAAGAGGAAATGACGAACGTGCTTGGACAATGGAAGAAGGGTGATGCTTTTTCTGTAGTGGCAAAGAACTTGTCTGAATTATGTTCAGATGTATGGTGGAAGGTAGAACTTGTAAATGATGAACTCGAATATTTGGCTGAAGATCTTAAAGGGGTCATGTGGTTTCTTTTTGCTGCTTATAATAAAGTGTGAGAGGAAAGAGATAGACTTAAAAATGAATTTATAAAATGAAAACAACCTTAAAGATTTGGAAAATTCTGTTGTACAGACTAAAGACACTTATTCTAGAATTGTCACCAAGGATGACGTGGCTACACAATCTTTTGTTAAAGAGATTAAGCCTGTGACTAATGGATCTAACCAACTACCACAGCAGAAAACCCGTCAGCTGAGACCGAAGGGGACAGAGAAAGAACGAACGAGAGAATGCTGTCTGCCTCTTGGAATTCTACAGGCAGGAAACAGGCCAAAGGAGCTACATCTGTTGTCCTCCAAGAAAAGAAAAGAACCACCCCTGGAGCAGCTCGGAGATCAACAGAACTGTTGGAAGGAGCACAGGAAACAGAACTGCCTTGGTCTCAAAGGGTGGGGCTGTGGCCTCAGCGGTCTCAAAGAGTGTGGCCAGGGCCTCTGGGGCGTCAAAGGGTAGAGCCATGGCCTTCTAGGTTTCAAAGAGTCAGATCTTACCAACTAGGTTCTGGAGTGCGGGGCCAAGAGAATGAGGCCTCTGCCCAAAGCTGAGGGGCGCGAGGCTGTAGGGCAGAAGAATGGGGCCTGCCCAAAGCCGAGGGAGCAGAGTTGCTATCCCAGTTGGCTTGGAAGGCTGAGCTTAAGCCCAGGGCCAAGGAGCCTCCACTCAGAATCCAAAGAGCATGGACAACACCCAGTGTCTGGAGGACTGTACCCTTGCCCAGATAAGAGCAGAGGATTATTAGCCTTGAGAGCTAACGTAAATTGTTCTGCTGGGTTTTGGACTTGCTTGGTGCTCGTTATGCCTTTTTCCCCTACAGTTTCTCCCATTTGTAATGGAAATGTCTATCTTGTACCTACCTGTCCTACTATTGTAGTTTGGAAACAGATAACTTGTATTCTAGATTTCATAGGTTCCCAGACGAAGAGAAATTTGCCCCAGGATAGAATACACTTAAAATCTCACCTATATTTAATTTAGGTGATTCAGAAGATGAGATTTTGGACTTGGAGTTGATTTAAGACTTTTTGGATGATGTGATGGGGTGAATGTGTTTCTCATATGATAAGGACATGAATTTTTTGGAGCCAGAGGGTAGAATGTAATGGGTTGATTTGTGTACCCCGAAAATATGTGTTGTAAATCCTAACCTCTGTTCCTAAAGTTATAATCCCCTTTCAGAATGGGTTATCTTTGTTATGTTAATGAGACAGGATTAGTATAGGGTGTGTCTTGAGTCAGTCTCTCTTGAAATTTAGAATAGATTAAACAAGCAAGGGAGCAGGCAGAGATGGGGGAAGACACATGCCAAGCCATATGAAGATTGCCCAGGAGCACAAGCTTAGAAGAGACAAAGATGACAGAGAAAGCCTTCCGCTACATCTGGCATCGTGAATTCAAACTTCTAGTCTTCTAAACCGTAAGAAAATAAATTTCTGTTTGTTAAAGCCACCCACTTGTGGTATTTCTGTTACAGCAGCACTAGATAACTAAGACAAGTATTAATACCAATTTTAAACGTTAATACACCTTCTCACTTATTGACTATCATTTTGCATTTACAACAATAGTTAAAAAAAATCTGACTATTTTGCACATTAAGGATGTATGCTTCTGGCAGTAATAAACACCGAGGTGCGACGAGTAATGCTGGCTATGATGGTTATGTGTCAACTTGGCTGAGCCATGATTCTCAGTGGTTTGGCAATTATGTAATGATATAATTTGGCAGTTATGTATTGATGTAGTAATCCTCTATTTTGTGATCTGATGTGGTCATCCTCCATTTTCGCATAACACTGATTTCACATAATGACCTGGTCTTTGGAACCTAACCAGGTCGATAAGTGAGGAGAGTGTCCAGTTTTCTAGTTATTATAATTCAGAAGAAACTTTTTTTGCCTTTTATTTTACAGGACTTACCTTGGAAGAAAGTGAATTAAAGACTTTTTTGTTAAGATCCGGAACTCCTTTTTGAATCATGAAACTTTAGTCAAAAATATCATTGGTGATATTAGATATTAATGTATCTGGGTCAGCAGAATTAACTTCTTGGAAAGGATCAGGAAAGCCTGGGAAGTAGCCACATTGTATCATGTTCCTCATTTTGGTGAAATCCTCTCATGGGTTATGTTGTTAGGAGTGTATGTGAGGTAAATATCTTGTACTGATAGAGGAACTGCCAACAGAGTCCTTATTGCTGTTTTAAAGCTTTAAGTGAGGGGAGACTGAATGGAAATGGAGCTGAAGGATAGGGCCTATTTGTAGATAAGGGAGTTAAAAGTAGGCAAAAGGATTTATTTCCATGTCTACTGTTTTAATAGAATTTATTAGTGAGCATATTAGTTAGGGGGATTAGTAATAAAAAAAGTATAAATTATCATGATTTGGATTTTGAGGCAAAATGGGAGTAGCTAATTTTTAAAAAATGGAAGGAATACACAAAGTCACTGTTTCAAAAAGAATTGGTTGACATTCAACCATTTTAAGAGGTAGCATATGATCAGGTACCAATGGTGCTGAAGGAAGAAGTCCAAGATGCACTGAAGGCACTGGTGAAAAACAAGGCTCCAGGAATTGACGGAATACCAATTGAGATGTTTCAACAACTGGATGCAATGCTGGACGTGCTCACTCAGTCTATGCCA